TATATATATATAGCAACAATTCATCCTGCCCCTGTCTTCTGAAGACGTTTATCACTTGGCTGACAAGCTCTTTCAGTGTCTTCAGTTAAGTTCAGTTAAGTCTGTTTTTGAAATGTTAGCCATACTGTTGCCCATCATTCAATCTGGTGTCCCCAAGCTCAGAGATGCAAAGGTACTTTTTAATATAGTATCACATATAATAAAATGGCAACTTTAAGCCATAATATAATTATATAACAGTAGGTATTGGAATGACATACCTGTTCTAATGCTGCAAAACATATATTCTGGGTAAACCCAGGGCATTCATTTAATAAATACTTATATTAAAAAAAAAGTCTGCGCTAAATTATTTTATGTTTCTAATTTATAATATTTTGCTATGATTGACCTTTAAATGATGTATTATTACAGTAGGCATAAAAGTTTCACAGTTCCCTTTGAGAATTTCTAGTATCTGCTGCTGACAACTTATTTCCCCTTATATGGAGCCGTTGTTTTATTTAAGAGTCCATATCTTCTTCCTTTTTTTTTCTTTTTTAAATATAGTAGACACTCCACTGAAAAATGTAATAATTGTTACAGTCAGTTTTTAGAGAATTGCTGTAGCGGTCCCTGTGTAAAAGAGATTTAATAGCCTGCATTGGGAAAATGTGAATATAAATTTTATATGAACATAAAATTCAGAATTGGGATCTGGCCCACCAATTAAAGATATTACACCTGATTAATGACTTATTTTAGTGCCTGGGGTCTTCTCCTCAAACGCACATCTGCATCTACCTTTTGTCTTTATGCAGTCGCAAACAGCCAGGCCTATATGATGCACTCCATTGTATAGCTGGGTAACAATGGCACCAGCTGTTTCTGCAGACACAAAAAGTTGCGTGTGTGTGTGCTAATATTAATAAACACACACGCGCACACGTACACACACTGGGTGTGTTTTCCAGACGCAGATTCCCGCCCTGCTTCCTATCCGCGCTCAGCCGCTCACACGGTGCCTCCGTTACAGATCTATTCTTACAACTGCCTGAACCCCATCCACGTTGTGTGAAATCGGTGCGACCTCTCCGTCACAACCGACGCCACGCCGACCTCGTGACTGCCAAGACATCTGCCCAATAGTAGCTTGAATCCTACGTCATTCAGTCTTCCAAAGTCCAGTCAAAAACGGGTGGGCGGGATTTCCGTGGGCCTGGTATTCAAGTTTGGTTGTAAAGGTAAGCCCTGGATGGGATTTTTATTTTTTTTTTTAGTTTTCTTTTTCTTTTATTTAATCTTCACGTTTGGATTTGATATGGTTTCATACGTGCTGGTGTGCTACTGTGTCCGCTAAAATAAACAGTGCTTGCCGGGCAGTGGTCGCCCATTGCTCGCTTGTGTACAGCAGTGTAAAGTATTCTAAGCAAGAGAACAACGGTGATTTCCCTATAGTACAGCAATTGTGTATATATTCTGATTAATGACAGTTAAACAGTGGCTTTGACGAGGCACGTTACAAACTGTCAGGGCAGCCTGAAACGTTTTCGTCTCTCTATTACTCCTCTATTGCTAAGTTACACGGTTGTAACTTTGCTTTCTGTAACAATTTAGCCGCCTGTTCCCATAAACAGGGGGTCAATTAAATGCTACTTTAGAAGAAAAATATAAAAATAATTGATGGCTATTTATAGCTAACTCTGTTTACATCTGTTTTACCGTTCACGGTTAGATGTCTTTACTGAATGCATTCTGCATACGAAACACTGCTGCTTATGGAAACACGCGTGGAGACAAAGCATTTGTTGAAACTTAAAACCCGGGTGAATGTGTTGGACTAATCAGTTGTTGTTTACACACTCTTGTGTTACTTTCTAGCTTTCCCCCCGCGTGTGAGCTGACATACTGCTACGCCGAGGAGAACGTGTATCCACCCTACCACACCTCTTCTTCAAGCAAACTCCTCGACTCTTTTGGATGCTATTCGAAACTTGAAATTGTTCTTCAGCCTTTTAAACGGAATGGATTTTGAAAACACATAACTTGGAGAGCTTCTAGTAAAAAGTGTGTTGAAATAGCCCACCGGTGGAGTTTGTCAGCGTTTGAGGACGTCGCATTAGGCGTTTCTGGAAGGGAAATTAACTTAAAGCTGCAATGGATCAAGCCAGCGGTGGGGAGGATCCAAATAAGCCCTCTAAAAAGAAATCCAGCGAGGATGAGGGTAAAAACAAAAAGCTGGTAGGTATTCTAATAGCTCACTCGTGTGTAACGTGCGTGGAACTAGGGTGTAAGTCAACTGACACATCCTGCAATCCCAGAAGCAGCCCATTATGTCACACTCAACTTTATTAAGACCCAGAAAGTTGCACTGCTTTGCAGCTGCAGAAAGTTTCATGTTAGGTCTGTGTCAAAAAAGAAAAAAGATTTATTGTAAATGCTAAGGACAGTCTTCCTTTTACTTTTAAAGCTCATCATGAAACCAAGGAGCAGGACAAAGCATATTCTCGATGCAGAACTTCCCTGTTTAGTGCAGGACGAGACACAAACAGTAATTCATGTGTTGTTGTTATGGTTTAATGTAGGGGCTAATAGCAGCTAGAGTTGAGCAAAGAGGTACTGTTTCGCTGAGTGCTTCAATTTTCGAGGCACTCAGTGCATCATGTGATTATTCCTGTCAATACATCTCCTGATAGGTTTTTGAAGAGCATCCTTGTTGTGACAGTTGGGGGTCTTATATTAATATGCACACAAAGCACAAGTTAATTTACTGTATGACTCAGTGTACAGCATGATGTACATGAGGTTTGTGGGGGCGATTTATGAACAGCATGAGTGTGTGCAATTGATAAAACTTGTCCTTAGGCAGCCCTTGGGCAGTGTCTATGAGATAACAACTGAAAACCCATTTAACATTAATTTATCGTCATTACATTGGATGGACTTTGTGCAGTAGTTTAACCAGAGGAAGGATTGTGCTTATTTAGAAAAGTAGCAAACCCGGATCTACATCATTAAAGCCGTGGTGTCATTAGGCCGGTCCTGCACGCCATATCTTGCCCTGAAATGACATTGCAAGATTTGGTGGAAGTTTTGTTTTGGCTTATGTGGAAATGCTTAAACAATCACTTTTGTTTTTTTTAGTCATGCTGTTCTTAAAAGTTCCTGGGAGAAACTAATACACTCTTCTGAGGAATTGTGTAAACAGCATCTCTCCAAAATCTGTCATTTCCTTATTTGGTAAACTGTAGCTACAATCTTTTATTTACCGTCCACAGTGCCATGTTAAATGATAAATCTAAACTGTAATGCTGAGGGTGTGAAGTGCACGTCAGTGCCTGCATGCCGTCAGTGCTGGCAGAAAGCAGTGGTTCAAAGTTATTTTCCATGACCAGAAACAAAAAAGCTTGGCTGCCGTTTGATTTTCACGTCTGTTTTTCCACATTTGTGGAAAAAGGGAAAGTTCGGCTGCCGTTGAACTTTGTGCAACTTTCTCATGTCACCTCCCAAATCTTCATTGTGAGCTCTTAGTGTTGCTTTATGTTGTGACTTATTGGCTGGGTAGGTCACAAGTTTAGTTGCAGCCACAGTTCCTAAATAGGGAACTGAAAACGGCGCAGTTTAGATTGACTAGTGTTTCTGTCTTCACTCAAGCATACTGGAATGATTGAAGGAGAACATTCTGAATGAAATGTTTTTGTTAATGCCTCTGATATTTCTTTAGGTGGTGCTCATTGTTGTTGAGCATTATTGCATGTTTAGCATTTTTTAGTAATTGTCCTAAAACTGAAACACACAAAGGAAATTGCTGGTTGTTTACACCAAAGTTAAGGTAAAGGAAAGAGTGGCCAAAATAACTGCCTGACAGGAAATCCCAAAGTGGGGCGCATTGACATGCACTCCCAGAGCTACTAATGGGTGTTCCTTTAAGAAATCGTTACGACAGCCTTAAACGCTTGACTATCCTGCCTCCCAAGTTTAAGATGTTTGCGAGAGTGCCAGAATGACATCATCAGTCAGTAAATCACTCAAGAAGTCTATGTAAGACCAGTGTTTGGTTTTGTTTTACTAAAAAAATGGTCTCATGGTCAGGCGTGTTCTCTGTTGCGCAACTCTCTGAGCACAGCAGGCAGAAGCAGAAGGCAGCTTCAAATGCGGCTGTTGCAAAAATACTAACATTAGCTTTAAGTTTGAAAGAGGAAGCTGATTATTCTTCCTTGAGTTCAGTTTTGATTTGTCCTCTTGTGTTTATCCCAACGTTTTAGCTGTCCACAGTCATGTAAATAAGCTAAATTAAACAAATCCAGCTGTTTAAAGGGCTAATGCAACAAAAGTGCAAGCGCTATGCAACTAAATCTCTAAATTTTACTACACATATGCAGGGTTGTGTTGTGACATTTTTGGCATGCAGTGCAGGCTGTGTGGATGTGGAACAGACTTGAGGGAGGGGTAATACCAGCTGTAAACAGCATCAAAGTACTGGTTTCATAATCACACCTAGCGCTGCTAAAGAGCACTGTCCCATGTGCTTTGGTGATAAGAAAATGCAGAAACTGCTGTGGTTTGGTCAATGCAAAGTCAAATCAGTCTTTAGAGGAAAAACACTGAAAGCTGTGTGTTTGTTTAACAAGTCACTGGGCAGCATTACATCACGGCAACACCATTTGGGCTATGGGCCCAGGGTGTAGATACTCAGCATAGCCAAGGACATTACAACAGCACTGCAGTCTTTTGGGTCATAACTCAAATTTTCAATAGTTCCTAGCTTCTCTTTGTTATAATGTCCTTGTCTTGAAGTTTTGCAAAAGTATGACATCCAGGAGAACAGCCAGATGGAATGAGCTCTTTAGTAAAAGGAACTCAGAGGAGCTGGTTTGACCAAGAGGAAGAGAACTGTTACTCCTTTTGAATTCCAGATTAAGAGATGATCTCATAGTGTAGCAACACAGAGGAAGGAAGCATCACGTTGCATAAATATAATAATAACACTGAGACGTTAAATATTAGGATTAGGAATGTGGCAACCAATAACTGGGAACCAGTTCTCAGTTATATATATGTATATTGTAGTAGACCTAAGCACATGCATGCCTTTCTTTATTCTACACTGTGTGAAAACTACTGTATTGAATATCAATATTTTTCACTATACTTTATCAAAGTTAGACCAACATTGTGGCAAGACTATGCTGAAGTACTCAGTATATTTATCAAATGCTTTAGCTCTGGTGGCTCTGTGGTGTAGTGGTTTACACGTTCACGTTTCGAGGAGACACAAATCCCTTGGAGGTTGCACTAAGAAGTGCTTTCAGTGTGGTTGGGGTGACCCCTTGTGAATAAAGTCTGATTTAGAGTTATGTAGGAAGTCTTTATAGAGCCTACAATGAATCTGCATAAGTGACTGGGATCAGCCAGCTTTTTTGTTTGTTCTGGTGCATTATGTGTCATTTCCAGCTGTTTTTGCGTGGGGCTATTGTAAGATACAACGATTTTACAACAATCAAAGTGCTGATGATCAAACTTTCCAATTTGTTAAAACACAGTAAAAGATCCAATCTTCTTTATTGCCTGCAGGCTTGACATGTAATGTAATGATGTATACAATTTGTACTTGTTTCTTTCTATATGAAAATTGTTTAAAGTTTTCAGAATCTCAAACAT